GCTCGAAACTAGTCGGTGCCGCCACCGGACGTATATACGTGAGTGTTTAGCCGTGTTTATATATCAGTTTTGTATAATGTCTCACGAAAGTTTGAATAGTTCGTCATATCGTTATATGCTTCGATATATATTTTACTATTAAATTCTAAACTACACTCAGAGTCTATTATTAATCGATAAGTACCTTAAGTGAGAACTTGGGGACTCCTTTAACTTTAAAGTGTTTAAATTATTTTAGAACATGATGGCAATACAGATATTATAAAATATAAAACTTATAAACTGTTGACAGCGACACCTTCCGCGTAAAATTAAAAAACATAATTAGTAGCTTATGTGTTCTTCCAGATTATGTTCTATATCTGTGCAAAATTTTATCAAGATCCATGAAACCGTTTTGGGCATATCTTCTAACAAACATCTATCTATACATTCGCTTTTATAATATTAGTCAGATCAAGTTATAAAAGACAATAAACTAAAAGCATTTTAAAAATAGCTAAATAAAATAAAAGGATAGGCAGGGAGGTATTTGGATACCGGTTTTACGGGCAATTACAATCGGCCATTTGGACCGTTCACCACCAACTTAAACCGAGTCTCCTTGACCTAAATAAAATTGTATTTTGCGCGGAAAATTGTGCGACATCTGTATATGACAGACGCAAACCCCAAATGGTATGTATAATGCAAAAATATTGCAAAAAACTTTCCAACTCAAGTAAATTTTATTACGTTAAATACTTTAACTAAAATATTGTAATTAACTTCCATATTTTATTATATTTAAATGAAGTAATTAAACAAGATAATAAACAGAGTAAATCTTACTAATATTATAAATGCGAATGATTGGATGGATGGATGGATGTTTGAAAGTATCTCCGGATATTGGTGAAATTTGGCTTAAATGTAGAACATAGTCTGTAAGAACACATAGGCTATTTATTAAGTTTTTTTTTAATACCGCGCAGACAAAGTTGCAGGCGACAGCTAGTAAACTTATAATGGAAATTAAAAATAACATAACAGTAATATCGTATAGATAGCAAGCATCGGTTTACTTAAATAAAAGACTTTATCAAGATTATTTAAAAAATAACTCCATCCAGGTAAACGCTGTTATTGTTTTCTGAACCTTCAATTATGCCAAATATACATTCTTTGTTAAGTATACATTTGTTGCAAAACTCATAAGAGTACAACGTTTGCCTGTAGACAACTATTATTAACATAAAACTCCACATATCCACAAAAGGTATTCGGGTCGACATCACAAAGGCTTCGAAGCTTGGGACGGATCAAGTGATATTTTTATTCCAATCAATAGGCATTCGGGTCAGTTTTCCGCTAATATCTAAATAAGGTCTAGTATAAATAGCAGGGGGGTCTAGCACGAATATTAGCGAGAAAGTATTATTAATGTCATCGATAAAATTTGTTTTAAAACGAATGATGTCAAATGAAAATATTAATAATTAAAGTTTAAACATTTAAATATATTTAAGTAGTTTTTAAGCTATAAAATAATCTTGGCTCCACATAGTCTTTGACGTTTGCCTTTTATAATTAAAAAAAAAAACCTTTTACATTCCAACTACAAGCATTACGATTGTCATACGCAATGCCGTACCCTACCCGAGTCTGCAGTGCATCAAGGCCGCACAAAGGTTGTAATCCAGTTTAAAGTCGACAGAACCTAATTATTAGGGCATGTTCGTTATAATTAAAGCTGCCGTTGAGGAAAAAATTATTAACTATGCGATCACTGACCTCTATAAATAGACTGGTTATTCGACGTAGTATTTTGTGCCTATTTGATTTTCGCCATTTTGGCGTTGATGGTAGCGGTTTGTAGAGGAAGTGTGGATTCAAACTAATAATTATAGAATTAACTGTCACGTAACACCAACAGGCGTTTTCAAATCGGAACGAAGTAACAGTTATGATTTCCAAGATCAAGGACGCGATCCATACATGTAAAATTAATATAAATGTATCCAAAATGGATAATCTTCCAAATCAGAATCGTATAATAGTGGTAATAATCCGTTACTAATATTTTAACTAAACTTTGTTAGCAATAGTTTATATTTACACGCTGAGGTCAGCAATGCAGGGCATGTAGTGTCAGACATAGTCGGGGATATTTTGAGCGCGGGTCGGTCTAATGAAAAATCGATGACCTGACCGTTACTGGGCCGACTATACGAGTAGTTTTGAAACATCGTTTTATTTTAGTTTAACAATTGTTTCTAGCCGACTAATAGAGGAATATTTGTCTATGCCTACGCTAAAAACTGTACCACAATATTATAAATGCGAATGTTTAGATGGATGGATGTTTGTGAAAAGGTATCTCCAGAACGGCTTCATGGATCTCGTTGAAATTTTGAATAGATGTTAAACATAGTCTGGAAGATCACATAGGCTTATAATTAAGTTTTTATTCCATACTGAAAGAGTCGCGGGCATCTAGTTATGTCATAAAGATAAAATGTCTAGAAAAACTGCGCCTTACTTATTAAGATTATTTGAACTCCACAAGGAAGAAGTCGCGGGCTACAGCTAGTAGGACAATAAATGGTTACTTGTACAGTGCAGTAACAATGAAATTATAACAAACGTATAGCTAAAATTACCTTTATAAGGCTGTTGTTAAGGTTTGTTTAAATTTTAAAACTAAAATTTTCCAAAATATCTTTAGTTATTAAATATTTTAAGCCTTTGAAATATTTCTTATTTCCACTGTATTCTATAACAGGAATAGGATAAGTATATCACAGATTATACATGTTCCACGTCAGTTAAACCAGATTATCTTGAATGGTTTCCAGGAACGTCTAGATCCGCATCCCGTCTGATTCATTTCTCAGGAACGTGGTATAAGCAGTTTATTTTTATTATAATACGATCATTTTATTGATTGTCTCAAGAAGAAACTTTTAAATTAATATTGTGCTCTTCCAGACTGTGGAATTTCATCAAAAACTATGCAGCCGTACTGGAGATACCTTCTAACAAACATGCATCCAGCTTTCTGTCCATCTAAACATACACATTTATAATATTAGCAATAATGTATTATATATTTCATTATATGTAAATATACAAAATAATACATAGGTTATATAAATGCGTGGTATATAGGTGAGATCGAGTCGAGTCGAGTCGAGTAGAGTAGAGCGGCGGCAGCGGTGGCCCTGGCGCGAGATACTGTCAAGGTTTCTGTTTCCATACAAACTTTAGCCGCGACCCACTTCGTAATAATAAACTTTTACCAATCGACTAATCGATATTATTGTTCTATTTACATAATATTGATATTTGAGAAATGTATACAAGCATTTTACAGTACACAAATTAAACCGCATTTGTCCGTTTTTTTACAATAAGATAAACCATAAAAATAATTTAAGTTCGAATTAAAAAACATGATTTCAATGCATTTCGGTTTTTGTTGTGATTGGAAAATCTACAGATAGTATTTAAGTCAAAATTTTACAAATCACTAGCTTTCGTCCGCGACTTCGTCTGCGCGGTATAAAAAACTTTGCACCAGATCCTTGCAGCCGTTCTGATGAAACATACTATGAAATATGCATTCATACATACATCTAAATATTCGCATATATAATATTAATAAGTTACGAACTACCACATTCAGAGCCTTTAATTGGTCTCATAAACTCCACTAAAGGACAATTTAACGACTCTGTTAGTAACATGTATAAAATAATATTAAGTATGTTATTTACATTATGACGTATATTATTTTTAACACGTTATCACACCATGAGTAATGTTAATATGACGCAAGTGTTGCCAAAAGAGAATAATCAATATTTGTTTAATGTCGCTGCCTGGACACGTGGAGCACTCGGAGAACACGGGGTGAATGACCTGACCTCCAAATTTTACCTGAGAGTACCTTCGTTGTTTCTGTATTTAATCTTTTTAAGGTTATACATATAAACTCCAATCGATATAAAAACTTATCTTCTAATCGATATTTTTTTACATTTTTATATTAACATTTAAAAGTAGACCAATAACCTACAGTTTGATAAAAGCCAGACGTATCCGAGTGTGGAATTAGTATGTAACTTGAAAGGATTGTTTACTAGCGGTGCGAGATAAAAGGGGGCGTCGACCCACATGTTTAGCCATTTTATTATCGTAGTCTGTACATCTCATGTAGTGCATCCTAATTGCAATACACATAAGGTTGTTATTCGTGTGTCGATCAACTCTTTGTTCAAGGTTAGTGGAGTGGTGCGGAATTTTTACGATGAATTTAATTAATATTTGTCGATGTGCTCGATGACGTCATCTTTAGTACATTTTATTGGAAGTTAACGTGATATAAATAAGTAATATAAATGTTCATCCAGACTGTTCTGCATTTTTGCTAAATTGCAGTGTGATCCGTTTAGCCGTTCTTAAGAAGTTGTAACAAATATCCCTATACATCTAGCTATTCTTTCGCTTTTATAATACGCTAGCTCTCGTCCGCGAGTTGGTCCGCGTGGAAATTGCAGTGCTCATTATGTGTAGATTTTATATGACAAATAATCCCTACGCAAGGCTACGTAAATCTCTGAACCAGTCTCACAATTTTACATTGCACAATCCTTTAACTTTAATTTAAATTAACTTGATAAAAAGAAATAAATAGAACGATAGATTTTGATTATGCTCATTTTGGATGCGTTATGTGCCCATACAAAATAAAATTTGATAAATGTTGGTAATTATTTATTTACATTGTACATAAGTGGTATATAAATGTAAATAATTACATCTAATATGTATAAATATATACAGTTAGTAAAAATAGAGTGTCGGTATGTCTTTGCGTTACTAATAACAAAAAGCAATTCCTAAATTATTTTCTATCTCTCGACAAGTCTGTCGTTTCGATTTATTTTTGTTTTCCCAATTTTCACAAGTCATTTTTGTTTTTTTCTTAAAGCCTCGATCATAGTTTTTAAATTTGCAACCTTATTTCTTAGTCTCTTATTAACTTTTTGTAAATTCTTCACTTTTTTAGTTTTAATTAGTAAGTGATTTTTGCATATACGAAGTTCTTTTCGTAAAGCGACCATATTAGGGGTATCTATGGGTAGGGGTATGGATTCTAAAGTCGTTGTACATGGTGATTTGAGTTCAGGCATAACATTTATTTGTCCTCGTCCTTCTCTCTCAGTCTAGAATAGTAAAGGCAAATATACATGAATCAGATTATAATCTATATCTTTTATCTTACTAATATTATAAATACGAATGTTTAGATGAATGTTAGGATGGCTACAAAGGTAGTGGTAGACCAAAAATAGTATAGAATGACTGTGTGAAAGAGGATATACGTAGGAAGGGGGTAGACTCGGATATGACGGCTGATAGAGATGTATGGAGGAGTAGTACACTGTGCGGACCTTCGATAGGGATAAGGACAGGTTGATGATGGTGATGTTTAGATGAATGTTTGTTTGAAAATATCTCCAGACCAGGTGAACGGATCTCGATGAAATTTGGTACACATATAAAACATAGTCTGAAAGTAAACATAGGCTTACTTATTATGTTGTTGTTTTTTATTGCTCGCAGACGGAGTAGTGTTACAGCTAGTACTAAAATAATACCTGATTTGTTTTCAAAGTGGTTGGTAATGCATCAATCTTAGAAGACTCATCACTTGAAACCTCTAACTGAAATCGTAAGCATCGAACATATTAAGAGTAAGGAAACTATTTTTTTTTCAATTATAAGGCTTTTAATTACCTTTATGATAATGTCTACATCTTCTAAATCCACATTTATTTCAGGGATTGACTGCGATTTTGGTAATTCCAGAAATTCAGCTAAAGATTGTGTTATATCGTCTCCGTCTAAGTCGTCTGACTAAGAAAATAAACGCATCAATTAAATTACTTGTAGTTAATATTTATAAACTGTTATATTTAGTATGTATTGTTAGGAAGAAAATCCGAAATGTGCCGGTGTTTAGGCGCAACACTAGCCTTACTAAAATGTCGACGTTTATGTCCCCTCACTAATCATTGACACTTGACTTTGTAACGAAAGCACGTCATTCGCGCCAAAGGATTCTAACTAATCTTATATATAAAATTCTCATGTCACAATTTTCGTTCCCATACTCCTCCGAAACAGCTTGAGAACATCTATTTAAGCTAGTAACTTCTAATAGTATTAACATATGTATAGCCTTCATTGTTTACTTGCCTGTATATTCGGTACGGCACTTTTTTTAATTCTCCTGAATCCTTTATCTGTTAAATACATGTCATCTTCGGAAAAATGTTCCGAGCAAATTACACTCGATGGATTCGGTTTAAAAAAATCTTCTTTTCTATTTCGCGCTATAATACACCTCCATTTCTCCTTTTGAATTTCATTACGCGGAAAACTGAAATAAGTTTCATTGTTATAAAAAAGGCGACTTCATGCCTTTTTTTGCCAAACAAGGTCTCTGTTCGTCTATTCGTTATCGCTAATACACAGCGTGGTATGAAAGGGACAGATGTGGGACTGATGTTTGGTTGAAGAAAAATATTAAATAGCATAAAATGCAAACTTATGCAAAAATCATTTTACTTTAATACGATACTTACTGAAAGTATGACACTCCGTCTTTCTTTTGAATTTTTAAAGTACAATTTTTACATTTTTTTACAACACATTTCGGCATGGTTTATACGTTAGCGCACTTGCGCAGTCAGACAACGACTGAGGCCGAAAGAAGGCAATCTGTTGATTCTTGCCTTCATAATAGTGGCTCCACTTTTCGTACGCGAACCATGTATCTACCAAACTACGAGATCGAATTATTTAGCATTATTTATACTATTTTAAACTCCCCACACTATATAACTGACTACAACTGACTCTATTTTACATTTTTCTAGTAATACAACGCAATATTAATATTTTAAGATTATTATTTGATGTTATTTTCTCTACCTCGGAATCCTTCCTAGGATATACATAGGTCCCGACCGGTGTGTGCGAGGAGTATTGACATGTGCCCACACCCCGGTAAACAGTGAGTCGAGGGAACCAGAGGGGGTTTAGTGGGTAGGCTCCTTGTCCCTTTAGGGATGTGGAGAGAGTCCCACATAACCGGAGTGGCTTTCCCCGAGGCACCCGGTATGCGTAACGCATTCCCCCTCTTAAAAAAAAGGTTACATAGGTTGTTTTTTTTACAAATACATTACGAGTGTATTTTTCGAGTCGGCTTTATATAATAGGTTAATAGTACATCAGTTGCCAGTACCGATGGCACGTTGCCAGTCGGTCGCGGGGAGTCGGTCCCGCGTTCAATGCGCACTGTGTTAACAGTAAACTGGTTATGTCACATCGGGTTACTCACCGATCGTCAACTTTAAGTGGAACGTGACATTGTTTTATTAAGTGAGACAGTCTTTTTATTAGCAAACATTATTAGAGTTAAGAGAGTGTCGGTGGCTCAGGGGTTAAAGCACTTGACTTGTAATTTGCAGGTCCTTCGAATCCCGCCATGTAACAATGTGTTTCTTCGCTTTTTAATTTATATATGTACATATCAAAGGAAAACATTATGATGCAACCTGCACATATCTGCGAAGAAATTCAAAGATATGTGTGAAGTCAACCACCCAGCACTGGGCTATGCTTCACTATGGCCTAGTTACTCCTAACTTAGGGTAGGCTCCGAGCCCCTCAGTGGTGACGTATAGTGAGCTGATGTTGATGATAAGAGTTAAGTAACTAAAGTATTAAGTATCACTGACGTAAGAGTTAACTGGACGCTAAAAGAAACTTTAGGGGAAGAATTTGGTTTATTTTCTTACAAAAATCCATCAATTTATTCTGGAAGGATGCGTATCCAAAAGTAAAAAAAAAAGAACCTACTAGAACACGTTGTAAATCTTGTCAAATATGCTTATAGTTTTTGGGATATTTTATTTAGTATATGTAGAAAGCTTATAAGTTTAATGCTTTAAACAAAGTACTTATCAATATACAAATAGGATTATGTGCTAAACACAAATCTAGAATAACCTAAACCCTATTTCATACTATAACATAAATTTAGTTATAAACTTTTATATGACCTGGGACGATATTGTATGCAGAAGATACAAGATTTTACTATTGAGAACTGAGAAACTTTTTTTTTATTTTCGCTCGGACGTAGTAGTGGACGACAGCTAGTATGTACATAAGGTTATTTCAAAGCCAGACATTACCTGCAGCCTTATCAAATATATAGTAAATAATAAGTCTTATTTGTAATGAGGTTAGCCACATTGTTAGTGGAAGCCGGTTTAACGCTGTCCGCTCGATATTAATTAGTACATAAAGCATCTGTACACACATACGGTCTTATTGCATCCGCTGATTCATTTCACATTTATACCGTAACCATACGGAATCGACAGACTTGGTAAAACTGTAAATAACTGCCGTGACTGTTTTACATCTGTATTTTTTTAGTTAAATAGTAAATGACTCTTTTTTTTAACATACATACTTTTTTTCTTGACGTGTGCTAGTTGTTTCATTTCTTAATTTTATTTTCATTCGTATCGAAATTAATTAAAGTTCTTCCACATTTTCGTAAATCATTAGATTAGCCAACGACCCAGTAAGTACCATAACAAATGTGACACAGATATATTTTAATTGACTTTAACTTCGTAAAGTTAGATATCTCAAGAAATGGTCTGGGTGTTAAACAAAGTGCATTCGCTTCGAAGCGATTCCATAAACTTCAAAAATGTATGAAACTGACCATAACTTTCGATAAGTTCGCTATGGATCGCTTCGAAGCGAATGCATTATATAACTCCTCTGTAAACGTTACAACCGGAGTATTGATGCGTCTACGCGAGCTTCTAGAGAGTTCTATCGTAAAGTACCTCGGAGTCAACCGGTTCTATAGGTGACCACCTATCGGCCCGTCACGGATTCAGTGGACCGGTTCGCGTTCAAAAATAAAGTTTAAACAAATATTATCAGTATTCTCGATTGATGATTCATTTAACTAATATTTAGTGGTCAGTAAGAATATGATGTCAGCTAATTAGTCGATTTACGTACTATACGGTTTTATTACTAATTTTAGTATAGTAAAGTAAACAAATATTGCAATTGTTATATTAAAGTTTAGGTTTAGCTAAACAGATCAATCCTTTTCATTCGCTGTAATCTTTAGTAAACCGAAATATCAACCTTATTTAGTTTAAAATCTTTTAACCAAGAAATTATCAAATTTGATTTCACATAAACTCTCTATACATTTTACTAGTATTGTAAACCACCTGCTCCTACAAATCTTTAACTTGAGATCACCCCTATATTATTTACTCAATCACACACCTGCCGGGTCCACCTGGACCACTTCGAGAATCATTATTTTCACCCTACATGAGCGTACATACTTACTATTAATCGTGGTAATATATAGGCTTAGTATCTTTGAACCCACTGACCTGTGCATCGGCTGTGTCCGTTGTGTATACTGCGCCATGTGGTGCCGAGCTCCGGCATGGCTAGGCGCGCATGCCGCGTGCGCGCGCCGCTAGCTCCGCGCCATGCGGGCCCACACACACACTCACCAACACAAACACACGCCCACGCCCACGGCACCCACACTGCACCCGCACCCGCGATCAAAACCTGCACACAAAATATCACATAAATTTACAGTACACTTTAATAATCAAGATTCGAAGTCGAAAAGGATCTAGATTTAAAGCCACAAATCAAACCAAAGCTATATGGCTAAGATATTGGGCATTGAATGAGCATTTTCATGGCGTCTATGTTAAATAATTCAAGTTTCTTGGTTATAAAGATATCTATCAAGACAAAAATGACATAAAAAACTCATGAACAATCAATCAATCAATGATGTCATAGTTAAATTAAAGAGATCAAAAAATCATTACGAAACCGTAAACGGAATATAATTGCATAAGTATTAGTCATCTGAAAGTATGTAAGTGTGTTATTGGCACATATATACGTCAAGTCTTATGTTATTGTCCACTCATAGCATTGTTGCACCGTAAAATAGTTCTTTTGTTTATATGCATTTATCTTAATTAAAATAACGTACTAAGTTCATTGTTTCCGGTCAATTAAGACGAACCTTGGAGATAAACACAAAACTATCATTAACTTGATGCGTTCTAACATTAAATTATACTTAACATTACTTGAAATTATAACTAAGTATAGTATGTTGATACTAGCTGTCGGCCGCGACTCCGTTCGCACGGAATTGACAATAAAAATGTGTTTATCCAGACTATGTTTTACGTCTGTGCAAATCTTCATCAAGATACGCTGAGCCGTTCCCGAGATATCTTCAAACAAACATCCATCCATCCTCCTAAACATTCGCATATTCGCAAAAAATAAATCTTACTAATATTATAAAATCTTCTGAACTGCAGCATGTGCGCTAAAATTTAGCTCATATGTAGATACAGTCTGGAAGATGACACAGGCTACTAATTAAGTTTTTTTTATTCCGCGCGGACGGAGCAACAGCTACCATGTATTAAAAATCTAAGGGGAATTAGGTTCGTTTATTAATTTAAATAAAAAAAACATTCTATAATAACTCTATGGCAAAGTAAATATAATTAGAAACAGTTTAGAGGAAGTGGGTTAAGTTAGTAGTGCACGTAAGCCAACTTTAACTTAACGACTTTTTGCTGTGTTATATAATTACATAGGTAAAATTAACTGCTTAATTATGTTTTTAAATAACGAAGAATATATAGTAAACTAATTATATTTATAATATTACTAAAGAAAGAACATTAGACAACGTATGTTTTTGGAAGTACTGGTTACTAGCACACCATTTTTTAATAAGAGATGGGGGCAAACGGGCAGCGGGAAGACTGAGATGTTCATCAACGCCCATGGAAATATGCAATACCAGAGGAAC